AAGTTTATATTTAAAATAGCATTAAAATGGGTTTAAATGGATTAAATTTTAGAAATGAAAATTACAAAGTTGATGCTTTTATTTTTCAAGAATGTAGTTCTTGTTTTATCACACATTATGAAAGTAGATGTCTATTGATAGTGCATAACAAAATGTTTAAAAAAGTCCAAAAGGAGGTTATTTGTGTTCATAGTCATTGTGAGATTTGATTAATTAGATTAAAAACAAAATTAAATAAATTAATTTTAACTGCAGTTCTGCATTTGTGTACGCATAGGTGCGTAAAAACAGCGATTTCTATTCTAATGTTTTTGGTGCGCTTAGAAGCTAGAACAAACAATTACTTCAATACATGTATTGATAACATCGGGACAATGTTACAACATGATTACGACCAAGTAATTCTCGTCCATTCCAGGTCTTTCAATCCCATCTGACTTTCACTGAGACAATCTTATTTTTCCTCGGACAACCACCGCAACCTTGAACGCGGTTATTGTCTGTAGATGAAATCAAGGACGAAGTGGCAAGAAATTTGAAACTGCACAGTTGGTTGAACGTTGAACCTTTTTTTCTTTATCGGCCACCAACATCTGATGCACTTATATTTATCTTCAAGAGACGAAATATGAATCATTAATATTCGAACAGTAACGCAATTGTGACTTAAAACATCAACTTCACCAAACTCTGCTCTTACTGCCTCTATAGAATGTTAGGTCTTCATAAGCTGGATTGCATCTTCGGATGAGCCCGAACTGAAAGCGCTAATCATGATTTCAATAGCAAACCGGAGGTTATCGGAATCTGTACAAGGTGTAGATTTTGTTTGGAATGTTTTCGAGTTTGAGAAAGAATTGAATGTATGTAAAACTGTCGACTAGTAGCTAGACTGTCTCGGATCAGCGGAATCTACTGCTTTAGGTTGGTTACAATCTGGTCGTAAATGTTGCTCTGATTACCAACGTTCTATCAGCTTATGAATGAATGTCTGTAATAGTAAACTCGTATCGAGATCCAAGACAAACATTTGGATGTTGTTGTGATTCGATGATAGAGGTCGTTTATATCGAAGAGGTTCACTAGGCTAATGTAGCTCTTTCACATTTTTATATTGAAAATATGCAGCCAGTATTCGGTCGTCATGAGAATGTAGCAAATTGTTCGGGTGTAATACAATGTTGGCCAACATCCTAGAAAAAATGTGAATAACCAGTCCGGCTGCTGTGGAGTTGTTCTGCAGATCTCTAGTCACATTATACTAGTGATCAAACTCGTCAAACTATTCGGGTCGTCGGGTCTTCTGGAATATTCTCTTTTAGAAATGAGCGTAACATTATTATTGTTCAAATGAATTATATATTTAAGTATAATTTAGAAATTCGGAAATATTATCATACGTGGGCAGCAGCTATTGCTGATCAATCAACTCCTTTCGGTATTATCAATAATGACAAAATAACACATGAACCACACCTCGATCAAATCCATAACTTCTTTTTTGACAGCAACTTCCACCGGTTTTGACTCTTCCAAAATCATCTCACTGAGTAGTTTTTCTAGCAGATTCCTCGGAGGTGGTAGTCTTTTGTATTGCAAACAAATTCCTTAACGTCGAGTGCATTTATTTGGCGATACAACATCTTGATCAACAACAACAGTTTCATGACATCACTGGTTAATCTTACCAACCATCAGAAACTGTCCTGTTTTTCGCCGAACAACTGAACGTATTCCTCCTGCAGTAATTCCTCCAAAGCAAACTCATAGTCAGACAACATTCAACTGATCCAAACTGTATACGAACCAGCTAAGGGATGAAAGTCTCTCTAAAAAAGCAAAAGAACTGATCCAAACTCGTTCGAATCCAGACGCTGGCTGCACAAGGTCGGAGCGATTATTCGTATTCTTGCAGAATCTCCGAGAACTGTTAAAAGCGATGATTAATCTCAATAGTGATCAACAGCGGATCCGATAAACACATTTATCACTGCTGATACCTCTTCAAATTACACAGTACAATATGATAAAATAATAATTTTTCACTTCACACTCACACCCTTCTCGCAACATCCAGATTACTGTGTTGATATCAAAATTTCAAAATCCACTTCTATCTTTTGCATCTTCTGCAGTATGGAAAAGTAGATGCAGCGAAAACGAAAGCGAAAGGTGGAGAGAAATCTGACAAAATTACACTGATCCAAAAAAGGACATTTATCGTGGCTGCTATCTACATGGCATTTTAGATGTGTCGCCCTCCTCGCTACAGAGTTATAACATGTTACAGCGCGATCTTGAGGGTGGTTTCTGTGTTGCAATTATTTGACAACCGTTATAACATGTTATAACTCTCCAGTCTGAACAAGGCATAAGGCTGCCCACGAGACAGTTGCGATCAGCTGACTTTTTGTTTACCAAGAACTTTTGACAGATCACAGTAGAACTGGCAGTTTATTCTCATATGAATTTCTGCTATGTTTATGTATACATTCAGCACCATTAACACCAGATCACTCACACACTCTAGATTTCTAGCTGTCAGTTCCACTGTGAAACGTCTCTTGATCACCTTATTGGATAAGGTAAAAGCTCGACGCAGATGTCGCCACTGCATGATGATGATAATGTTGACAGGCTGCATATAAAATTAGTGAAAATTAGCATTAAATCATAATTTTCATCAAGCCTGCGTAAATTCCTTCCAATATAACATTCGAATTGAAGAAGAAAATGTTTTCACGATCAGACTGATGTGCATCTTTGACTTTTCTAGATGAACTTTCATAAGATATATTCATTTCATTTCACAGCTCCACCAATGCTGCATCGTACATATGATGTAACAGAAGTACATTGCTCAATTACTCAAAATAAAGATGATTTGTCAGCTTGTTATCACTTTGAAAACCATCTAGCACCATTTTATAGTATGGTGCGTGTTGAGTACATCAAGTTCCGTTACGTTGTCCGTCGAAAATTGTGAGTATCAATATGTTTACCTTAAAAAAGCCAAAATGAACATTTATTGAATATTGGCGTCCTATACAACCAATTCTCCATTACCACCAGCATGATACAACCTTTCCTAAGTAAATTCACTTAATTTCCACTTTCATCTTAGTGGAAATCGCACATATTCACCATTTTCCGAAAAATGCAGCTGCGCAGGAGGTAACCTCTCCCTGTGGGTGCAAACTTGTTATGCATAATTTTCCATGAAAACATCTTCGATCCATACCGAAATAATAACAGTTAGCTTTCCAACACGTTTTCTTACACGATTCAAGCAAAAGTTTCCACGGGAAATAATTAGTTTTTCTTTATAGACCGATTTGCCCCAAAAATCGTCTGTTTTACTTGGAGAATTTATAAACTATCCTCCTTCTAGTAGTTCTCACTTCGAAATGTAGGTGGCGAAAGCTTGGAAAAGTTTCACTGCAAGACGCCAATTATGGCGAGCGTTAAATGCTGAATAACAAAAAATAGGTTTAAAGGATTAGAATGAGAATGTTTGAAATATATTCTAACAAACAATCAATACATTTCCAAATAATTTTTGTTGTTATTAATGATTCCGGATTTTTTAAACAATTGTATTTGGTTCGAATCGGAGTCAGAGTAGGTTAATTTCAAATCAGAAGAATTGGAGTCGATCGATTTTCATCCGACTCCACAGCCCTGTTTATAAGTTACAAGAAGAAGTTGAAAAGTATGTATTTGACACATAAAACCTTTTTTTTAGAATATCACAATCAGCGATTGCATGATTCGTGAGTGCTCACTCTGAACGAATCATACAATAGCTAATTGGGTTTAATTTTAATTTTTGAAAAGTAGGGTAGAGCGCTACTTCGACGTAATCGCCCATTTCCGTTCTATCGATCAGAAAAGATCAAAAATATCAATTATGTCACCGTGCACAAATCAATAATAGGTTCGTTCCGATGCGTTAGTTCATTAGCTACAATATAAATCCTACTAAGACCCACGCACATTAGATCCAGACCAGACGCGTTGCAGCAAAGTGACAGCTAAATCTATTGTCTGTCAAATTTACGTCAACGCAACGCAAACGGATCTAATGTGGGTGGCCTTTTAGAGCGCATTGTATGAATATTTACACTCATTGTTCTCAAAACAAAAGAAGCGCTTCTAGCGAATCCCCTTTCCTACGTTTATATTATAAAACTAAACTAACAAATTGACAGATCGCTCCCATACATCGTACCATTCGAGGGGCGCTGAAATGGTGAATTTTACTAATGCAATCACACTTATTTAAAATAGTTCCACTGCTTTAAAATGGATGAAATTTTGGATTTCGGTTCCATTTGACATGCAGATTACGAATATGCAATTACCTGAATACCCCTAAATAACCCAATTGTGAGTCTCGCAAAGCAATTGTATTTGCCAAACAGATACTTTTCAACCTTGTCTTGCAACAAACAAGCACCGAATCTAATTATAACATCTAATGATTTCACAATTCCTAAAAATATCCACCCTGGCCTCGGACTCCTAAAACTGCTGAAGTCCTTACATTTTCACATGTTCTGCGAGTTTCAGAAGCGCAGTTTTCGACAGTTTTCAGAATATTGATTTCGGACAACCGTCGTTGCTTTCAACTGTCATTTTGCAGTTCACAACAACATTTGAATCGCATAAAAACGTCGAGAGAGTAGCATATTTTTTTCTCTGTTCGCCGTCGTCGCGTAGGCATCGCGTGCATCGTATAGGAATATGTAGGTACAGGGCGGAGAAAAACTTCACACAAACTCCACCACAGCACAACACCCAACAGTGGGGTATTTGCGACCATGGGATGCTGTGCATGAAGCTTTTCCGACCGATTCTCACAGGAGAACGCGAGATTTGCGGAGAGCGAGAACGCCTTTCCACGACTTTATGAGGCGCGCAGCAGTGTTGCCAGAAATGCTCTTATTTTTGGCCACTTGCGAAATTACATTTACGAATAGAAATGAATTGACACTTACCAACTTCGACGACCAACAGGAGGGCCGAGAAGGTGGCCACCACGCCAAGGAGCCGGCCCGAGACATTCCGTATGAATCCACCTCGACTGCTTCGTTCGCTAAGGTCATTCCCAATGTTGCTGCTCATGATCACGCACAATCGACGGTGGCTGAGGCGAGAGCCAACTCTGCTGGCTGTGGACTGGAAACTGACCCGAAATTGCGTTGTTGTAGTTGTCGTCGTCTCGTTTGGTTCGCTATGTGGGCAGATGCGTGAATAATCCGGGGGTGGTCACTCCAGTAGTGAAGCACAATCCTTGCTTCAAGCTCGACGGATTTTCCACCTACTCCCTACTTGCTGACGTGTTACACGCTGCTGGGATCCAAAAATGTTCAAAAGAGTTTCCCTATTTCTTCGCTTTACACTTTTTCACAGCAGAATTCCAAAATCGAATGCATCCGCGAAAGATGACACTTTGTGGGCTTCGATTACACCCACTTTTCTTCGACGGAAAATTTCTTCACTTTTGCTTTTAAACGTTACAATCGGTAACTAGTTCCGGTAGGAATCTTCTCTTATATCCTCGCTTCATAGTGTCTGCTTGGTTTGGGCTACCTTTTGTTAAATTGAAGAAAATATTTCGTTATCAACTGAGGACCGTCATCTGCCATCCGTCGCCAGAAGGTCGATTTTCACTGGGGTCGCACAAATCGTGCACAGCGGGATGCGGGCGAAAAGGACCAATTTTCCGACACACCGAGGAAAATTCGATGAATGAAATGCACATACACACCGACACGAGGCGCAGCTTCTCTGGGAGGGAGCGTGAGTAAAAGCTAGCTCTCTCGAGAAGAGCGGAGTAATACGTTGAGATGATGATATCTGATGGGTGGTGGATGCTGTGGGTTCGGATAGAGTTGTTAGTTTTTGTTTTCTCTCAAAGGAAAGTTAGTTTGGGAAAAATCTATTCTATTTAAAACTTGCACACATTATTTCGAAATCGTTCTTGGCAACTGTCCACAACTCGATACCTGATACCATCGGGATATAAAAATGTCGAGTTTCGTAGAACAACATAACGCAAAGGGAATCGATGTAAGGGACTATTGAATTAGCCTTGAAAATCATTTTTCACTCTGGTTCTACATCGCTATTGACGTATGGGTTAGGGAAGATGCATAAATGACGTAGCATTTTAGGGTGCCCAGTACAGTGATGCAAAATTTGACATTTTCGCTCCACAATACTTAAACGATTCCAAATCGGATCCTGACTAACCTCTTCAAATTTGAACCCATTTGGTGAGAAACTGAGATGGCACAAACCATTTGAAGTTTGTATGGGAATTACTATGGTAGAACCAAGATTTCTGTTCATTTCTATCTAATAATTCACCATATGGGTCTGCTTCAAAAGCTTTCAATTTTACTTGTAGGAAATTTTCCCAGCTACAACTTTGCTCAAGACAACTTTTTGATTAAATCTAAGGATCGAAAATTATTAATGGTTCAATGCACTGATGTCTTATGATCATGCTCAATCAACTGCTCAGCAGGCAACATTGGTGTTTCTGGGGCGTTGAGTAGGACACAAAAATTATGGCTACTATGTCACACTGCAAAATACAGTGTTGCCTACAGAGCAGCTGCTTGATCATGTCATAAGTTTACCAATCTCTTAAATAATTTATAACTATTTCCTGTCTCGTTTTACATAGAAACGATCTTGAGCAAAATTGTAGCTGAGAAAATTTTCTATAAGAATAGCTATCGAACTGTTTCACAGCTCAATATAGAAAAAGACTAGAAGGCAATGAACAAAAAGTTGAGATTTCCCATAGTAATTTACATGTAAACTTCAAATGGTTTGTGCGAAATCTGTTTCTAACCAAATGAGTTTGTAACTTTTGGAGGCTAATTACGACCCGATTTGAAACCATTTAAGCACTGTGGAGCGAAAAAGTCAAATTTTGCATCAGTCTAGTGCCCAGCCTTGCAGATAAATACGTTACAAAGGGGAGGGGTTTCAAAGTTGGTGCTTCATCAAACGTAAACAAACGTTTAACGGTCCCCCTCCCCTTTGTAGGGTATTGTTCTATATGGCTGGCCACTCTAAAATGCTACGTCATGTATGCATCTTCCCTTATCGAATTGTGGAGAATCGATTGTCACACACTCAGTTCAGATTACCAAGATTATAACAGCTGAGCTCTGAGGTCATCTCGGTGTGAACAATTGATCCTACCAAGCTCTCAGTTTAATGATGTTTCTCGTAATCTGTTCACTGGTTACAAACTAGGTCTGGTGAATACATAGAGGTATTCGGGGTAAGACGGACAGCTGATTGTATGAAATTCTGTGCCTGCCGGTCGTAAGGTTTTCACTCGGTATATTTTTAATAAATTTGTAGTTTTGAAACTACATAGGGTCGGTGTTCCAGTAATAGTTGTGTATGTATACCGCATACCAGAATAAAGGTAGAAGTTTGGGTAATTTTTTTTTCATCTGTAACTCTCCTACAATAAAGTATATATGTATAGTTGAAACTTTAGATTTGCTCATTAATGACGGAGAAAAATCAGGTTGCACCTAAAACGGAAAGGGTAAGTCTGACAGTTTCCATGTCAGATTATGAAATGTTTGCTAATTAGTACACTGAAATCTCCGTTTACGAAATAGTTGTTTACGCAGTATCCGAAGTAAATCCCAAAGAACGAGGTTTTTGCTTATGAAGCAAGTTCCAAATAATGAGTTTTTTTTTGCGTTCTACCCTACAATATGGGCATTTTTGGAAATCCAAGAAGGCGGTTTACGGAAAAACCGGAACACTCAAAAACGTTCACACGTCTGATCGAAGTGTTTACACTTTTGATTTTTCATATGTACATATTCAGAGACGAACCAGCCAACGGCTGAAATTCTCTATAATATTGAAATCAATCAAATCAAATCAATTCAAATGTACAAACACATTTATTTTAAGCAAGGGTAATCAACTCTGCACACTGTGCCGAAACTAGCACGGCCCCCTTTTCGGCACGTAGGGCATACGTTAACAAATATTATATAAAACGGCAGAACTGTTGAGTTTTGCCAATCGTACTTATTACTATGGTTACTGCTTTGTTTACTTCAGATACTGAAAACAAAATTGAAAAAAAATATCTATGGACAGCTGACTTCCGATCCCGCCCCTGGCAAACCATTATCCAGACCAAATCATCTCGGAGCCTTCTCCAGGAGATCTTCTAACGTTACCTATAGCGCTGCGGGTTCTATTGCAGGGAAAATACAGCATAATATTCAAGACGTTTGGTCGACGGACACGGATTGGGGCAACATAATTCCTATGGAGATAGCTACGCACTGGATGGATTGTACTGTGCCACGAATAAATTCCGATTCTTTCGCGCCGGCTCTTCTTGTCTAGCATCACAAATGCTTCCAAGTAGGACATCAGAGTTGCATCAAGAGATCGCAACATTCGTCACATTTCCCGTCGTTTCTTCATTGTGCGCTGTACGGAACTGCGGAGCTAGGGCACCACACACGGGACGCTACGTATTATGTTGTATACTTATCCGAACAATTGTTCCCATATTGCGCGAGATAATCGCAGATTGGTGGCTTATATGTGGGAGTTTCTTCAGATCAGATCCAACCAAACCAGAAGGATGTTGAAACCGAAACAATTAAATCCAATGTTCAACAATTCCAAATACTTTAAATAGCGCTTCTTTTCCTGATACTAGAAGGCTGAACACTTGTCCGTATCGGCTTGGAACATATCCACTGGTTTGATTTCCCGTTGAACAAACGCCGTCACGTCCTTCTTAAGTCCCTTTTCAGCTGCTTTGCGAACTTCCTCTACGTGTTTCGCTTCACAATTCCTATGCAACGCTTTTTGGTTCATTAACTTCAAGACAGACACATCCTTTGCGGTCAGGAGAATGTTTTCATGTCATTTAGGAGGCCATGCAAAATCGGAGACAAAAATCATTATTTTAATTGAGCTCGTGGTTCCAAAGGAAAATAGTAATTACATCAGCATTAAATATAATAAAATAATTGGAGTTTCGGCTATGAAGTCTGGCGAGTTCACACCTAGTTTTTTTTAACTGCCCAACGTTTTGCTTGTTTTTGGCAGTCTTTCTCGGAGGAAATAATTCTACCGTAATTAAATTTCTTCTGAGGAAAGCTGCCAACATTTTCTGAGTATTTTTCCACCGAGAAACCGTTGTGAACATAAACAAGCACAAAGGTCATTATAAATTCAGGGTTGCCAAACGCATGGGATATTGCCACCTTGATTGACAGATTTCGACTCATTCAACACAGCGTAGGAACAGCTAAATCATTCGGCACAGATTAAGGTGTGCAGAGTTGAATACCCCTTGATTTTAAGAGTATTTCACCATGGTTCAATGTGTTCTACACTAGAAACATTGAAATCTTTCTCTATCAATTTAAGTGCATTGCACATTGAAACTACTGTTCAAAACAGATAGATTTGAAGTGTTTTACATTTCAATGAAATGTGAATTGCTTGTTCTCCAAGGTAATCATCATAAACATCGAGCACATGAGTTGTAACTTCATTCTTGTCAAGCAGCCTCATATATGAGAACAACCGTGGCCCTGTAAGATCAAACGTTGACAACAGTTCAAGATTTCTCACCCCAGCAGGCCTGGGTTCAATCCCAGTCGGCGCCGCCGGGATGTTCTGAGGCATAACATCTCTGATCACGCCTTCCTTCGGAAGGGAAGCAAAGCCGTTGGTCCCCGGTTCATGAGTTGATGGGTCGATAGATAGGGTCCAGGTGTGGGAGCTGTCTTCCTGGCGTCGGTAGCATTGGTGCTCAGCACGGAAAACAAGATCGACGGAAACTAATCAAGGAAAAAACAGTCCAGGATCAATTCCCAAATCAGACCAATTAAAAAAAGGCAAATGTATGCTCTGCCCTGTGGCAGCTTTGTTAATAAATTTGTCGATTCAATTTTGGACTCGGAAAAGTAGAAGTCGATAAAGTAGAATATTGTAGAAAATTGAACTATGATGTGCTAAGCTATTGATATCACCATATGTGGCACATAGACTCCAAGTGTGGCACAATTCGAACCAATGGTGCTCAGGCATGGTTCACAGCACAAGATTCACACATGAAATGGATGTGTTTCACAATAAGTGCTCAATTAAGTCTAGATAGAGCTGACATTAGGGCGTAACAGCTTTTGTAAACATTGACTTCTCGCGATGATTTCTAGGAATTCAAGGCACGCCCACGCAAACCAACAAAACCATCGAGTAGGGAAAGACTTCCCCTATCCGATGAAAATGATGGTTTGCATGGGCGAGCCTTGACTTTTTAGTAGTCATCGAGAGAAGTCATTGTTTACAAAAGCTGTTACGCCCTAATTCCAGCTCTATCTAGAAGTGTGAGACACATGATGATAACGTGTGGAATTTGTTGAGTGTAAATGAGCATCATAACTTTCTTATTTTTTTTTTTATCTAGTTCGTTTATTTGTAAGGCTCAATCGCGTTAGCTTTACGGAGCCGATAATTCATTGTTCTTTGTTTGTAACAAAATTCACTTAATTCTATGTCTAGTAGGA